CAACATAGACATGGTGGGTGCCAATAGGTTGCAATATATGGGACTGTACAATGAATTGATTTGCTGTTTCCTTAAAACTAATACATTTTCTCCTATGTCAAACATTTATTACTCTAGCTGCAAGGACAGGTGTCATTAGAAATAGAAATTTACTGCACAATGCGATTTAGCTTTTGGACATACCTCAAATGCTGAAGAGTTTACACTAAGTGGAGGAAAAAAAATGCCCCCGTTTTAGTGGTCTTCACTGCCATATGGACACCTCACTGCATGTTTGGCAGTATATTACAGCTTGGCACTGGCAGTATTTTCATTTCAAACAATTTTTGAGCAATTATTTTTGATGCTGTTGTGAAATGCTTGTCTCATGTTTTTCGCTGATGTGGGTTCTTCAAAATGATTAAGAACCACCCAAGCACAAAAATAAAACCTGTTAGGTTCTGTCCAAATTACTGCTGGGATTAGCCTAGTGTAATGATCACTTCTGAAGTCTGGAATAATATCAGGGAAACAAGACTCTTAAATATTTGTGATATCCATCTTGTTCTAAATATTTGCACCTTCTGCTTCACTTCTCAGAACAGTGTTTCTTAATTTTCTACAAGCAGGAGGATTTCACCAAGAAGACAGCAGCAATACTTAGCACTTGAATAGCACTTTTCACTTTCCAAATGTTGTACAGATATTAAACAGTTTTCCCAAACTCATGCAAAAAATGGGAATTGAGGAAAAAATGTAAAGGTGTTAATGGAAATTTGGTGCCTATACTTTATGCTTTTGATAATCACACCCACTCCTATTGCTGTTTTTCTAATAAGGGAACTAAGATGGCCAAATCCTGATTTCACCACATCAGTTTAACTAGTTTGTAGCAAGCTCTGTTCCCTATTTCAGTGTTTTATCCGCATCTCACAGTAATCACTGGGCTTACTATATTTGTAACCTCAAAACATGTTAGCTGTTCTGTGTAACCCAGGGTCCTGTTTGTGAAAGGCACTCTCTAGAAGATACTGGACAGGAGTTTTTCTGATGCTGGTGTGATCACGACATTGGTGACAGCTCTCAAATGAAAGTTACATAATTTAAACTGATTTCCTTTGTTATTAAAAATTGACTATCCCAGTTCAAAAGTAGACTTAATCGGCTGACTGGAAAAAGAGCCCTTACTGCCATAGAGAAAGCCTTGCAGAGCTCTTGGTTCTGTCCTATATGATTCAAAAAGGGCTGAACAGTGGATGCAAGCAGCTACTTGAGGTTATAAAACACCTGAAAGAAGAAGAACTGCTCTTTAAGATGGGCTTTTATCAGTTGCAGAGAAAGAAAGGAGAAGCTGTTACTAACGAAGCCTGTCAGATAAGTGCCATTAGAAAGCTGGAAGGTTATTGAGACTATTATTCTTTAAAATTGCAGTAAAAGACACTAAAAATGAGTTATGGCTCAGTGCCTTGAAGAACTGCCTGAGCAACCCACGAATAAGCAGACTCAGCCATAAGAGAGCATATAGTCACGGTAGCAAGTTCAGAAAGCTCTTTAGCTCTGCTGAGCAGGCTCCCCAGTAGCTGCACTACGTGTGCTTGTATTGTGTGGAGATACATCTAACTCATCACAGCGAGAGGCACTGTGACATGGCTTCATGGGTTAAATCCTCTGGCTGGTTTGAATAACACCGCTGTTTCTTTTAGACATCTCATTTTGGAAGAGTACTTGTCTGGGGGAGTTATGGCAGTCAGGTCCTGATCGTGCTGGTCCTTCTCTAACTGAAAGGAAAATATGGTGCTCATCTCTCAGAGACGGGTGACGGGTGCTCCGTGGGAGGGTGGGTCTCTTGCTGGACTGGGTTGCTTATGTCCTCTCCTCAACACATAATATTCTGCAAAGATGCTACTAAATTTTAGCCTTTCCTCTGATATTCCCCATGGCATGGCAGAACCTATCGAAGGTATCTAACATACCTTCGTATGTTATCCAGGTAAAGAAGCTTGCAGAGATCAAACAGACTTTGCTGAGAGCTGAACTTTCCTGTCAGGTGAAAGTTTCAGTGCTTGCAGGATATAGTGTGGCATCTTGTAAGAGTGGGCTGTCATCGTTGTCCAAAAATGTGAAAGAGCAAACAAACAAACAAAAAATGCATCTTTTTCTGTCTGGCCTGCCCGGTTCCTTTACCAAATGAGATGTCTGGCTGCATTCATTTTGTATCACTTCAGTTGACACTCAACAGATGCAGATGTGTTATTTTTATATACCACTGCAAGACTGAGCACAAACAGAATTGGGTGCTGTTCATCAGGTAGAAAATTAGAAATGACACATCAGCCTCTTAAATAAGTAAAACTAGAGCTTGCAATTGGACATGTAGAGATCCAAATTGTACTTACAGCCTGAGAACTGAAAGGAGGACATGAGGATGAGCGTGCCTAGGTCTCTATTGCCCAAGGTAGTCATCTTAACTTCTACATGCATACAATGGTGCCTAGAGTGAAGAACTCCGTTTGCTTTATAGCTGGGCAACTGCCAACTTGCAAAAGTATGTTTTACAGAGCCAGCAATGTCATCAAAGTTGTAAGCTTAAATACGGTTATGTTATCAACTTAAACCTGGCTCTTAATTTGAAATGTTTAGGAAAGAGCACTGAAGTCAGCTCTCATATAATTTTCATTTACTAATGGAGTAATCAACATCTGTAGAGCATGCAGCCACAAAATCTTTCACTCAGTGAAAAGCGTGCTCAAAAATTCTCTTGTCTGAGATCTATAATCTCATTTTAATTAGCATTGCACATGATTACTCCAATCAAAGTAAGTCAGTGGCAAACATTGCCATCTGCATTCATCGTTAACATCAGCTAGCACGATGGCAGTCAGTGATTTTAAGTTAATATGTGGGCTCTGAGGTGCAAGTGTCTGTTCAAGGACAAAGAACACTGCCCTACTTTCTTTCTACTACTTAGCTTTTGAAATGCACCCTTCATCTTAGAACTTGCCAACTATGGAGCATTTCCAGTTTTACATCTGGGATGTGACAGTCTTGCATATTCTCTGCAACAGAAGATACTGCCATTTGTTTTGAGTAACTTAATTATGCATGCATTCAGGATTGTATTACATCTGCCCAGTATTCAGCGTGGTTGCCGACTGCATGGTTAGGGTTTTGAGATGTTGATAGGCTTCCATGGCAAGGTACACAATTATTCAGTGAATTTTTAAGATGACGACTGTTCAATACAGTGGTAAAACTCAGACCACTGCATGCTGATAAGGGCAATACCAACAGGATGATATGTTGTATGCCTGTTTGTGTGTGCACTGCCATTTCTCCAGAGACCAGGTGTCATTAATTGGTTAAGAAGAGGTGACTGATGATACTTAGCTGTTTCTGGATTTATATGCTGCTTCATCATACCTCCTCACAGAAAGCCTTATTTGAGAAGGCAGCAGATGACCTGCTATTGATAAGAATCCTTTATGAATGTAAATTTTTCCTAAGATATAGCCAAGTTTTTAAAGGATTTCCACTGGTAAGTCATTAAAATGTTTCAAAGGTTACATGCAGTCCAAGAACATTTACCAAGAAAGGCACAAGCATATCTAAACTCATGGTTTATGTAAAATTCAGCAGGATTTTTTATTGTCTTCATCCTCAGAGAAGGGAATTATCTGGGCTTTTCTGAACATGTTAGTACATGACTGTAAACTCTTTAAGAGAAGACATATTCCAAATAGCATTTTTCCTCTTCCTGAACCAGACCTTTCATGCAAAGTGAGTGCTTATGAGAGCTTTTAAATTATTTTGGTTGCATAGTTACAATTCTGATAACTTTTTTTTTAAGTTCTCGTCATTATGAGAGGTAGCCTTGAGTGTTTTAAATCTACCCATAAAGCTGCTAGAATCATTCTCTGCAATTACACTACAATGCACAACAATTAATTATATCAAATCCTTCTCACAGAAGTGTTTACTAGTGAAGAGATTGCCACGGCTTTATTTCTGACAATAAAAGAGTAGGAATTATTATACACCTCTTGGGATTTTACTGATCTAACATTTCTATAGTCAGGATTATAATCATATTATTTTCCCTATAGGAAATAAACATCAGTTCTTGACAGGCATGATCTTTAAATAACACTTCATATGGGAAAAATATCCCCATGTATTTTTCTCCTGTAAGAACCCTGGTCCTACACATGGGACTTTTTTGTATAGGCATACCCAAGGCAGAGGTCCACTTCAAACTGGTGGAAAACATCTTCAGCAGCAGACGAAGTAGCTCAGGCTGCTTGCTCAGGTGCTGCGGCATGGGGGGACTGGTGGTGGGCAGGGAAAGCAGCGGTGCTGGCTGCCCCCCGAGGGCGTTTGGAGGGGGTATGTCAGACTAGTGCTGCTTGGGTCAGGGCACCTTTCAGTTTAGTTTCCAGTTTCAGGAATCCGATGTGTGCAGCCTGACACAGCTGCAGGACATGAACCAAAGCGCCGAGAGTGGGAATAATCAAGAGATTCCCTTTGAAAGCTCACTTCTGGTCTGAACGAGATGCTAAGATAGGTGCATCCATTCACCTGAAGAAATGCATTACCCTGAGCACGGGTTTGGTCCCTTGTATTTAGCCCTCCCAATGCACCCCTGTCTGCCAGACACCCCCTCTCTGAGCACAGGGAAATGTGAGAAAAGGACAAGCCCCACAGCCACAAATTGCTGTTGGCAAGGTGACAGGAGGGGCTTCTGGCTACCAGGTTTGTCTACTAGATACTCTGATACGGTGATTGTTCTTCATAAAGTGAAACAGTAAATACCATGCTTTACTTTACTGTTCAGTTTCTCTTTAAAAAAAAGAGGATTCTGTAAAGATTAACTTCACAGTGGGAAGTTTTCCTCCGAGCAAGACCTTTCCCTTTGGAAAGCAGCAAGGGTTAGCTGTAACATAAAATACGACAAATTGTTCAGAAGTAAATGTTCCCCAAACTGATAGAATCACCTGTCTTCACTTCTTTATTTCCTTCCACAGAGCCATGTTTGACTATGACAAGAGCAAAGACAGTGGCCTCCCAAGCCAAGGACTCAGTTTTAAGTATGGAGACATCCTTCACGTCATCAACGCCTCGGACGATGAATGGTGGCAGGCAAGGAGGGTCACTCTGGAGGGAGACAGTGAGGAGATGGGAGTTATACCCAGCAAGAGGAGGTGAGTGCTGCCTCCTCCTTCCTACCTCCTTGGCCATGATGTTAAAATATTCCATTTTATTCCAAAGACAGGGTGCATCAATCCACTGAAAAAATGGGGAAAGTCAAGGAAAATCACACAGTTACTATTTCAAGAGTTGGAAGATATGATTTTGGCTGTGAGATTTAAAGAGCTCAGGTTGTTTAACTGTACTGAAAAGAAACTCAAAAGGTGACTCAATTATAGTGGATTAGTAACTTCACAAAGAAAGGGAGGTAGGGGGAAAGAGCACCATGTACTGAAGAGCTTCAGCAGAAAAAGGAATAACCAGAACCCAAGTCTGGGAATTAGCTCTGAATTTGAAGTAGAGCACCTGTGTTAATGTCAGGGCGATTAGCCATTGCATCAAACTGCTGAAGGATGTAATGAATGTCTTGACATTTTCAAATCAAGACTGTATGTCTTTCTTTTGTGAGAGTAATAGAATTAAACTTCTCAGCCTGTGTGATATAAAAAATGACGCTAAATTATATAATGGTCCTCTCTGGCTTCAAAATCTGTTAATTTAATCTCTGCCTGCCCGGAAACTGATGGATAATCAATATCACATATAATATAAATGAAGGAACTTTCATCCACTCTCCAACCTAAATCTGAACCTTTGTTTAGCTGTGATGGATTCGTGCTGACTGATGGAGAAGGAACAGACATCTGAATCTCTCTCATTGTTTGCATTGTTTACTCTGCCTGGGCGCTTTCCTAAAATTAGCCACAAATCCCTGATAGTATCAGAACTACCACACAAATCAGTATTACTTTCTGCCTCTGTTGATAGTTGCTATAGAAAGGTCAAGATCTGAAAGGGTAGGAGGAAAACGAAAACTGTCAAACTCTGTTATGTTTCTCTTTTGCAGCAATGCTCTCATACTTCATATAAACTTTCTATTCCTAGCTATTTCGGCTTTAGCATTAATATAAAAATTATCATGCCCATTTTTTAATAGTGGGGAAATGAGACATTTGATGCTCTAGAGCTCCTGCTGCTGTTTCAGAAGAGTTTGCCCAGGTGCTAATAGAGTTCATGGTACTCCTTCGTCTAAATTACTTAAAAGTAAACTGAAAGGCCATCAAATACCTTGTTGATATGAGCCCTGCAAGGACCTTATTTTCTCTAATCATGACCATGTTTGAAAGGCAACCACACCAGCATTTTCAGCAAAAAGCAATTTTGGAGTTGTATAATAGATAGAAATAAAAACTACATTATAATTTTCAAGATGGGAAAAATGTGCCCATTAAACAGATTTAGTCTCTAGATATTGAAAAAAAAACCTTGCCTACTATTAATTGCTACAGTCAGTACGGTTGTAATGACATGATTGGATCACAAATGGGAAAAGAGGAAAGTCTATTCAGTTATTACTGAGGGAAGTATGTGTGCAAAGCTCACTTGCAGTGTGGTACATACTATGAAAAGCTACAAAAAGCTGTCATACATAATAAAATAACTATAGGTGAAAAAAAGGGCAAAGCAAAGCAACGGATTAAGACGTGAAGCTGTATCTTCTATAAGTTGGAGAGGCTACAGTGCCTAAGCCTTATTGGGTTACCTGCACAGTGATGTTTTCAAGGACAAAAGATAGAGGATCTCTAGTCAAGGTCAGACATATGATACAGCCTATGAAAAAGATGTGGCTTGGGCAACACTGGAAGAAAAGAGAGAAAAAAAAGGAAGAGAGAGGCAAGACAAAAATAGGTTGGTTAGAGTCTAAAAATAAGAGTCTTGAATTTGAAAAGATGCAGGTATAGTTACCATGCTCTCCACTTGTCATCCTGATTCTCCACTAGTGAATCTGAGAGGTCTGGAAAAATCAATGCCATCCGATTTTCTGTCTGCATTCATGTAATGATGCGATACACCTGAGCTGGGGTGGGGGGAGGTTGCTATTATTTCATAAAAGGTTTCAGTTGTACAAGGTTATTTTTTCCAATGCACTGAAAAGTGAGTATTATTTCCTTTCTGTGGATTCTGGATGATCCCTCAGAGCCAGTGAGACTGATGTGCTCTTGCCAGCATCTTCTGTGGTCATTTATACCACCCAGGGGGAGGATGAGCAATCAACGCATACAGGGCTGAGCTACAGAGAATAAAGCTCATCATACTTGCCAGAATGTACTAATTCTGAGTTGAATTTCCTCTGCAGGTGTGATTTGTTGACTATGAGAGGCTTGATCTAAAACAGAGTAGTCCTGAGATTCATTTGACCAAATGTAGGCAACAACAGCATGGAAATTTTTTGTACATCTTTTTACAGGAGAGCCCTTCACACAGTGACATTTTAGCATGAGCTGATAAGAGAAATTTTGAGTGATAAATCAAGACTCCATACTGGTTTTTTCCTCTATGATATATGTGATACACCAGAAGAAATCATAATTTATAATTATAGGGGAGCTGCCACTCATTATTCTCTCCAGGATGTTGGATAGATTACCAGACTTTACCTCTTAGTGATTCAATAGAGTTTGAAAGCTGCTTGTCACTAGATTTCAGTGCTGCTGCCAATGTGTGTACTCGTTGCCTTGTCAATTGTTAAATTGTAAAGTCAGGCTCTAAGAGGGACTTCTGGAAGGTAGCACTGCACCTAGGGGAGGGTTACTCAAAGAGGCAGCACAAAGAAATGAGGGTGTTTCCCCATTGCGGTTCTCCACTGATCTGTGCAAGGACCAAATTTCATGAGCTGGTGAGCTGGTGACCTCAGTGGAGATTAACGAAAATATAATGCTCAGTATCCTGCACCGCTAAAATATCATTGCAACTCTTTCCACATCTGAAAACAGCATTTTGTCCATTTGTCAGTATACATTTGGTGTCTGATTACAGCTGTTGTTCTCGACCATGGGACTAAGTAGTCAGTTGGTTAGAAACCAAATATAATAAATATAATGCTAGAAAGGTGTTGTGATATTGTATAATATTGATATTGGGAACAGTAGGACTTCAGCATAAGAGACTGCAAACCACTCGGTTGTGGTTTAACGGTCACCAGGTGTTATTATATAATATTAATGAATTAATATTGCAGGCCAAATTTCTCCTGGTTCCACATCCACCAAAAAGATTTATCCAAGCTACGTCTAAGGTGAGAGCAGGGCATAGTTATTATGCTGGGCAGAGTCTCCAAGGTGAGGAGACATAACTACCAGTCCTGTACCAATGTCTCAGACAGCCTGTGGTATTATCTGTGCACTATGTTTGCACATGTCAATTGCTCCCCTGTCATCAAAAATAACTATTTTACACTAGAATGACCAACAGAATTAGATTTACACTGGATTTTTGTTATATTTAGATGTATAGATGTATAGATTTAGATTAGAATTTCTACATACACTGGGCTTTTGATCACAAGAATTTTTATCTGCCTCATTGTGCTTCCTATTGTCCAGATAGATAAACAAAACAAATTCAGCTTCCCATAAAGGGCAGTAGCAAGCTGAGTAGCCTATGTCTAAGATTCCCTCCCTATGGAAACACTCACATTAGTTAAAGTGAGCCAACAAAAAGCATGAAACCAATGTGCATAATAAGTTAGAGTGTATTAAATTCCTAGACAGATGCTCTAATTCAGTAGTAAAGAGATTTTAATTTGCTGTAGCATTGATTTTACAGCTCCAGATCTTTTCACTTTTTCTTTGCTGAGTCTGTGCACACAGAAAAGCTCCTGCATTGCAAGCCCTACACAACAGCAACCTCCCACTCCGTGAATGTCAAGCTTCAGCATTTTCTATGACGAGTGTCTATCTGCTTCACTTGGGTCAGTGGGTCTGAAAGTAATTTAGTCTGTGATTTCACATAGATTGCCCCAGAATGGCCGAGCGTAAATGCTCCCACTGTAGCCAATGAGGATTTGGTCCTAAAACATTAAAATATTTACACTAATCTTTCTGTTGTCTTTAAGATGTGCAGCCACAAAACTGCTCACAGACTGGACATCACTCTGAGATATCCATTTTCAGGTAGCTTAAGTACATCTGACTGCAAAATGTTATGCAACTTGTATCTCTGTTATTAACCAGCTGAAGGTGTATGATGGTACTAGCCCAATATTTGTGTTCTCAGACAACAGTCTCCCCACAAATACATGTAACCACACTCTCCTTTCAGAGCAAAATGGGGAGGAAAGTACATAAAAAACAATGTTTCACAAACATTTGAGGATAAGGAACAGAGTTTTTCCCAGCACAGAAGTCCCTGTGGGCAAAAAGCCAACTTAAATTTGTTATTCTGCTCAGCTTGGCAAAAGGGCATGTTTATCCACTCAAGTGAGTTTTATTTTTAATGGTTTCCTATAAATTGTCTACCTTTCTAAACATCCCTTAAGACTTTAATCCTTAGATGATAAAACTTTTTAAAATGGCATAATCACGTTACTAAAATAAGTTACCAGACTATACTTACTAATCTAATTGGAAAAAATAAGTATGGAGTAAAATTGATATGTATGTGTATGTATAAACCTCTTCCTGTTCTCTTGCAATGATGGGAAACTTTTATGCTGAAGGAAAATAGCCCTTAGCTTTTAAACAGAATAAGGTTGTTCTACAATTTTATGAGAATTCACTTCCTAATGGCATTAGGTCTGCTTTTTTCATAAAATATTGACCAGGTGCTAAACTGCTCTCTATAAGCAAGTCACTGAAGATGGAGAGCTGAACGAGAGCATGTTCTCTCCTACTGAAAAATACATGTTCTGTTGCAAAAATACCACTTCAGGAACGCTCAAAAATAATTTTGAGAATGGGAATCTATTGGCAAGCTCCAGACCTCACATAAACAAAACTAAGCAGGGCAGAGAATGGAAACAATAAAAAACTATGGACTGAGTCTACATATTTGGACTATAAATAGTAATACAGATTTTCACTTATCTTTCACTTGATGAGTAGACAAAATAAATATAATGTGGATGACCTGGAAATGGCAAAGCAGGACAAGAAGAAACACGTTAACAAAGATG